CCGTATAATGTAAATCAAAAATTTCCACATCCTCTACAAACGCATAAAAATCAGCCATATCCAAGTTACGACGAGAGGAGCCTCCAAAACCATCATGAGGGAATAACATGGTGTTGAAATCCCCCATTACAACCCACGGGGAAGAACCAATGAGCACTTTAAATTTCCGCAGTCCCGACCATAAAGCACGACGGGCATTACATACATTAACCCCATAAACCAAAGAAACAAAAATATAATGTTGACTACCCCGAACAAGCACCTTACAATTTAAGTATTGACTATGAGCCTCTAAAACCATGACATCTAAAACTCGAGCATCCCAAGCAAGGATTATACGAGTACCATACTCACTCATAGTTTGATTAGAAACCCAATACCACTGACCAAAAGAGTTATAGCAAACACTTTCAAGAGAGTCCTTAGAAACATGTGATTCGACAATGGAACATAAACACACATCATTACAATGAATAAAATTCCGTACCTCTTTTTGTTTAGCCGGAGAATTAAGCCCCCGGATATTCCATGAAGCAAATTCCATGAACGTCAGTAAGATCATTGACCACCTCATCATGATTGTCCACCCGAGAAGTCTCTTCCCCTAAAGTCTCAAGAACACCAAACTGATTAGAATCAACATGGTTTATCACAACCCCTCGTCTCGGCAACCGAAATTTTTTGATCACAGAAGATATTAGTGGGGTAGGAGTAGACATAGCATGATGCGAAGACTTAGAAGAAGAAGATGAAGGCCCATAATTATTCTTACCTGATTCACCCAACGCATCCCTCCCCTCTGGCAAAGGAGGATCCATCAACTCAACATTATTAGAAACCATAGGCTCTTCTATTTCCCTTTCTTGACTTACAACATTCACTCCCAAAGACGCCTCAAGAGGGTGTGATTCCTTTCTTCCATTATCCGTTCTACCATTAGAATGATTGGCTTTACTTCCACCTTTAACCCGCCATTGTTTTTTCGCCACTCTAGTAAACCCATCATTATCTTTTCGGCCATCAATTTGTTTTCCTTTATTCAAACTAGCTGCTTTAACATACGACGAAAGTTTGTGTCCAACGATTTGACATTGGGAACATTGAATCGGTTCCCATAAGTATTCTACTTGAATTTGCACACTTTCGGCTTCTCCACCATTTATGTTTGGGATTTCAACATCGATTTTCCGTTTTAGATCAACCACAGCCCAAACCTCAACAAGAACTTTAGCAAAACCAAGGCGTCCCCAAGTTTTTTCACACATTGAAGCAGTGCAAGAATCCATTTGCTTAGGAATACCCAAGACACTTGCAATACGACTAACCCTCTCTTTATTGAAAGCAACTAAAGGAATGTTATGAAGTTTCACCCATAACGGACATGAAGAGTGTTCTGGTTTCTTTAACCCTTTGGAAGGATCCCAACGATGGACAAACAAAGGAACACCTCTAATCATCAACGGCCCAGCCTCAATCACTTGATCACATCCACCGACATCATTAAATTTAAAGAAAAAAAAATGCCATTCTCATTAAGCATCGCTTCCAAAAATCCAAATTTTCCCACGCCATTTTAACGAAATTTTTCACAAGCGGAAATGGGATACGAGGTCCCAAGAAATATCCATATAAAACTGA